AAGATAAAATAGATTAAAGAAGTGTATTGGATGGTGTGTAAAAATGAAAGTGGACAAATACTCTTGGACAGAGGGAGTATATAATAGAGAAATTTACCTAAATAGGACTAAAACATAATGACTTTCCCAATATAGGACCATATGTTTTTATTTCTTAATGTAGGACATTTGGTCATTATCACGAAGTCTTTATTCAACTAAATGTGCATCATTGCTGGACATTATTCCTTCCACTAGGTCATTATTAAGTCCTATTTATGGAATAAAAAAGTTTAAGTCCTACATTAGGAAAGTCATTATGTTTTAGTCCTATTTAGTGCAAATTTCACTATATAATAATCGTATAAAATATGGAATATTACCTATATTTAACACTTCTTTTGCATAAATGTTGTGCACATTAGGTATTAGAAAAAGGAACCGTTCTAGAGCCACTAGCTCCCGTAAATTGACTTTTTTGGTTCGACACTTTAGTATTGACAACAGCTAAATTCAATTTGCTATATTGACACTAGCTATACTTGTGTTCCACTATTTTTTTAAAAAACTATATACTCTGGCATTTTTTTATTAAATTATTTATCTCCCATTTGTTACACATTTTGGCTTTTTAAAATTGTTTTAGGTTACTCTATTTTTGTCCTAAACTACATTTCCTAATATTTTTGTGATTTTCATTCACCCTCATTTTTTCATATTCCGTATTTTTTAACTTCACTGTCAATCACAATTTTTTGTTTCCTAATTTACATGTATAACTCATGTCTCAAAATGGCAAATTGTGTGATTTACACTTATTCTTTTTCATTCTTAATTTTTAACATTAGTATCAAACCCATTTTTTCATTTCTTAATTTACATGTTACAAAATCATATCCCAAAATAACGAGACAGGCTACATTTTTTTGTAGTATTAGTTAAAAGAAAAAATAAACATAAACCATCCTCCTATTCTTAAAAGCAGGGGAACTATGCATCATTCTTTTTCTGGATGATCATCTAAGGATTATTAATCTACGGTTATTATTAATCCGTGCGTAGTAATATAATTTTCCTGTGTATTTAATTCCTAATTTAATACCGTGTGAAAAAAGGAAAGCATTCTAAATTATTAATCCGTTTGTATTGGTGGTTGTAAAAAAGGGAATACCATGTGCTTTTAGATCCAAATTTAATGCCATGTTAAAAAAGGAAAGCATTGTAAATTATTAATCCGTGTAAATTACCGGAGTTAAAAAAGGTAATAACGTGTGTATTGAATACTCCGTATGTGCCATTTTAAGGACCAAATTTAATACCGTGCATTCATTCCACACTAAAAAAAGAAAGTGGTCATTATTTACATATTTATGTTTTAAAGTATTGTAAAAAAAAGGAAATACCGTATTTATTTAAATAAAAAAAATACTGCGTCTGTTGAATCTGTGTGCATTAGTCGAGATTAAAAGGTAAGACCATATTTATTTAATACGGAGTACATGTGTATTTAAGGACCAAAATTAATAACGTCCATTCATTACTCAAAAAATGAAAGTATTGTGTATATACATATTTACCTTTTACACTCTTACCAAAAAATAAAAAAATTACTTTAGAAAACCCTTGCATTCATTACATGATTTGGTCGAAGAAATATGATAAGAGCATCCACAATGATAGCACCTCTCATTAGATGCCCAAATGTAGGCTTTATTTTAAAGATAGTATTGGAGCATCTCTTTGAACATCCAAATCTTTTAATGGTGACATCTCATTGAGATGCCTTGGGTGGATCCTATTCACATATAAATGCCATTTTTATATTATTAATTATGGATTTTTGTATTATATATACAAGTGTTAAATATGGAGTAATTAATTATTAATTAAAAGATTTTTAAGAAAAAAATAGTGTAAATAATTAAAAATATTATCAATGACTTTTTTATTGTTAAAAAATTTTGATTAAAAAATTAAAGGCACGGTCGTATTACTAAAATTAAAATAGGGTGTCATATTTTTTATAGAGTATTTATTTATTTATTTATTTTGTGCACATCATACTCAATCAAATGAAAGACTATTTCAAACAGATTTATGGCAAACCAAGGCTAACAATTTTTTATGGTATCACTACAAGTTAAGAAAAAGAAAAGAAAAAAAACTTAGGAAAATGGGTTTGTATAAGAAAATGGTAAAGATTTTTCCCCGGGGAAAAAAGAGACACAAATGAAAAGAAAAAAAACATTAAAAAGAGAGTGTACTATTAAAAAAAGCTTATTTTACAAAAGAATAAAAGAATGCACA